TTCCACTTCCAGTCTCGATTTTCACTTGTCTAACTCCGTTCTCCAGACTAACGAAGGACAGACATACAGACAAACAGTGGGAATATAAGAGTCTGTAATTAAAAAATTGTAGCCCAAAACTAACGAGAAATTATTTATTGTGACATCGTCACAATGCCGGTCCGCAATTTTTCGTCACAATGCTCTCAATATTAGTAATGTCTTACCCCTGTACATCATACTTTTCCTGTTAACAATGAAGTCATACCCATCATGTATCTAACTCCGTTCAGAGGAAAATTTTTAAATTGAAATAACATGATTTCCGGTCCAAACCGGAAATTCGTATATAGCTAATCTGGCCCTCCGACCCCTAAACTTTCCATATCCGGTCTCGAATTTCATCTAACTTCCTTCTCGAGATTAAGGAAGGACAGAAAAAAGAGAGTTTTTGAATTTAAAAATTGCAGCCCAAATATTATGATATATAAAGTAAAACACGTAAAAATACTACATAAAAACTTTTAATTTCACAGAAAAAAGAGAGTTTTTGAATTTAAAAATTGCAGCCCAAATATTATGATATATAATGTAAAACACGTAAAAATACTACATAAAAACTTTTAATTTCAAAGAAGAATGAATTTATTTTTATAAGAAATTAGCATATTTACAGCTTTATTACGTGACAATCGAGCTTTAGAATTTATACTAATTTTGGATTTTTTTTAAATTCACTTACTACAATTTAATAAATTAAATTCGCAATTAAGGAAGGACAGACAGACAGATATTTTAAATAATTTAGTATATAAGATACAGGAAAAGATATTCAGCATCTCTACTAAAGAATATTCCATACAAAAAAAAAAAATAAACTTAAATAATAATTTAAGATAGAGTAGAAGATATACAGCATCTTTACTAATTTGAAAAGTATGGTAGATTGAATTGCTTAGGAGCAATATATCATTTTAAAACCATCATTAAATATAAATAATATATATGCGATTGTCATAACTGTCTTCAGATAAAAAGCAAAGTTGTTTGGATGCATGTGGAAGAACATTATTTACTCTATAAATGACAGCAGGCGACGCCTTGCCTCTACTTTAACTTTTTACACGAATAAAAAAAAATTATATATAAGACGGGAACTGTCACTTATAAAATTCTAGAAAATAAAAAGTATCAAGCTTCCAGAAAAATAAAAATAAAAAAAAATTCTTATAAAATTTTAGATTCTATCCAAGATTTGTTCTACTCGAAAATTTTGTTATTTTCAAGTATTATAAAGTGTTTCCAGTTTATCTTTACGTCAAAGATTGTAAAGTCAACATAAAATATTATTGCTTTAAATTGTAAATTAAATTTCTTAGATATTATCTTTTATTCCATGAAAAAGATTCTGTTTCTTCTTTTTTTTTATTATTTTTAAATAAAGGAATATTAAATATTTATTTATTTATCTAAAATTCAGTTTAAATTGTAAATAAATACGAGAAAAAATATTGTTACAATCTCACAATGCCGGGCTGCAACTTTTTTACTCGTATTTTTTAATATAAAATATGTGCTCTCGATCTGAAATTAGTAATGCTTTATTTTTGTACAACTTTCAATCGTATTTTTTTAATTTAAAATATGTGCTCTCGATCTGTAATTAGCAATGCTTTACTCCTGTACAACTTTCAATCGCATTTTTAATTTAAAATATATGCTATCGATCTGAAATTAGTAATGCTTTACTCCTGTACAACTTTCAATCGTATTTTTTAAATTTAAAATATATGCTCTCAATCTGAAATTAGTAATGCTTTATTTTTGTACAACTTTCAATCGTGTTTTTAATATAAAATATGTGCTCTCGATCTGAAATTAGTAATGCTTTATTTTTGTACAACTTTCAATCGTATTTTTTTAATTTAAAATATGTGCTCTCGATCTGTAATTAGCAATGCTTTACTCCTGTACAACTTTCAATCGCATTTTTAATTTAAAATATATGCTATCGATCTGAAATTAGTAATGCTTTACTCCTGTACAACTNAAAAAAAAAAATATTTCTTGTTTAATTAACTTGTACTAAATTCTTGGTCATTTTACAAATGATTTACATTAATTTTACTTCACTTTCTTGCGCTAAAATATTTTATTTTTACATTTAAAATCGGATTTATAATGTATGAAATACATATTTATGTTGTAAAGTGAAGTGTTTACGTTTAAAAACCTTTACAACTTGACAAAAATTTGTAAGTAGTTTGTAAGATTTAACACAATTAAAAGTCTAGAAACATTAAATTCGTGTTTTGTATTTGATAGAAACGTTTTGTATGAAATTCTTGGCATAATTAAAGAATTTATAAATGTAACTCCTTTCATGAATTCTCTCGAAACTTTCATAAATTATTATTAAAAAAAACTAATTAATGATAATGTTTCAGTTTTATATGTTGTCGTTTTTTTCAGAAGATAAACAAATTTAATTATTTATTACTCCACTTTTTTTTATTATAAATAAGTTAAAATATTGAGTTACATCTTGCCAATATTGTGTGCTATGATGTTATATTTTTAATTTTATTATTGTAAAATGAAATTTTTAATGGCTTTTCTGCATATTTTAAGCTAGAATGAGTGAAATTTATGTTGAATATCTTCATAGTTGAGCTAGAATGAGTGAAATTTATGAGAGAAAGCATTGAATTGTCAATTAGAATATGGAAAATATGATGAGATGTCATCACGTGTACTAATCAGTGTATCAAGTATATTCAGAAGAGAGCTCTAAAAGTGAATTATAAATTTCACATCTCTAGCAATTCTATTGAGAAAATATGTAATTAATTTAACATATCTATGGAAAAAATTCTGTAACGAGTTTCATAGTTTTCCCGGCAAAAAAGTTAAAATTACGTTTGAGGCCATCTGTTATGAGATTTTATTTTTAAATTATTTTTTTATGTTCTATCTGAATATATTTTTGTTTAATAATTATTTTCTAATGAGATTTTACTGTTTTTATTATTCTTAAAATCATTTATTTTCTGTAATGATACGTAATAATATGCAGTATTTTTTAATATTGTTACGTAAAAAACGTAATAATGCTCTAAGTACTACAAAGCGTAATCGTATTGTTACGTAAGAAACGTAATAATTCGTTAGATTTTTACGGTATTTTTACGTAAAAAGCGTAATAATGCTTTAAATACAACAAAATGTTTACCGTATTGTTACGTAATAATGAGTCAAACATTACTCATTTTTATTGTATTGTAAGATACGTAATAATGAGTTGATTATATACAAGTTTTTACAATACTGTTACGTAATAAACGTAATAATTCTTTAAATAGTGTACATTTTAATGATATTATTACGTAAAAATACGTAACAATACCAGATAAACTGTTAATTGCAAAGAACGATGAATTTATATTTTATAAGAAATTAGCATATTTACAGCATTATTACGTAACAATCGAGCTTTAGAATTTATGCAAATGTCTTTTTTTTAAAAAAAAATTCAGTTACTACAATTTAATAAATTAAATTTACAATTTTTTACATTTCTTTTTATTCTGTTTGTTAAGGATTATATTAATTATTTTAAAAAAATTATTTACATTATTAAAAACTTAATTTTTAAATATAAAATACAAGAAAAATCTTAAACTATTTACCTTAAAATTAGCCGTAAATTATAAGTAAAAATTTCATTTTTAATTAAAAATTTCATGCGAAAGATCCTAGTTAAAAAGAAATGTAAGGGGAATGAATTTTTAAAATGTATAGTTTTAATTAACCGTATTTATTTGAAGGGAGGAGGAGGAAAAGGATGGGGGAAATGGTATATTTGCAGTGTGTTTAAACAACTAAACAAAACCAAATTAAATTCTGGACATCATAAAAATCCAAAATAATAGAAATTCTTGAAAAGAATCGTGTGATAAGAACAAAAACGATTCTTTCATTATGTTATATCAAACTTCTTTAAGATGAAATTGCTGGATTTACTTATACTTTTACTTCTTTTCGAACACAGAAGGTAATTATTGAGTTCAATAAAAGTCATTTTATGGCTAGAAAATGAAAGAACAGCAAAGGTGAGTATTAAAGAAAGTTCAAACGAGTTTAGTCTCTCACTTTTAATCTCAATTAAGCATCTATTTTCCCTATTAGATGGCTTATATACCTTTTTTTTTTTCTTTCTTTGCATCGTATAAAATTTATTAAAATTATCCTTATTTCTATATTTCATCAGATTTATAAATAAATTATTAAACTTTCTACTGTTCTACAATGTAATGATAAATTTATATTATGTTTAAATTATACTAAAATTTGCTGGTTTAATGTATATAAAATTAAATTAAATCTATAATATAATTTTATATCAATTAAGAGATATTGTAGCAACTTAAAAAAATTTTTTTGGAGTTATTTTATTTAAAAAATATATGCTTATTTGATTTTACAAAATTATATTTTGTATGTGTTAATTGAAATGTAAATCAAATTTTAATTTAATTTTATTATCAATACAGTAAAAATTATTCTTTTATCTTCTGTGGAAATTTTTCTCAAATTTGCTTTTTCAGTGCCAAAGTTATGCTTTAACAATAACATTAGAAATTAATTCACTTTTCTTACCACATATTTGCAACTATACAATTTTTTTTTTTAGACTCCCTCTCTGCTCTGTTGATCTGTTTATTTTCCTCACATATATATAAAATATTTGCACAAAACACAGGAATCAAAACACTTCAATTTCCTTCAACTGTTCACACATCAACATTCTACATATTGTCTTCAAAACATTTTTAACATAATTTTTCTTAAAAAATACAAAATATCTTATTCAAACTTCAAATTCCTAGAAAGTTCAAACATCAACACTTATCAATAAGAGCTTTGGGGATTGGTCATGTTGCACTGTTTTATGTCAAATGTTTAGGAATCTTTCATAATACATTCTAATTGAACAATTTGGGAGAAAATTCATTTATGTGAAACATGCCTAAATGCATACACAAACTTCAATACCAACACTCTAGATAATAAAAACTTAAATCAAGTGACACAAACTATCTAGCAACTTTGACCAGCATCATCATGTATATATACTATGTTTATGCATTTTCTTTTAATCACAAAGTTATTTGATATATGACAAAACCAATGTTACAAATAACTTTTAGGTGAAAAAATTAATGACTTAAGAAAAAACAATTACAAAGGTATCATCACTGCTCTCCTATGTACACAATGTACATAGATGTAGGAAAAATTTTCCCCATATCCACAAAGTAATCAAAGCCTGAATAATTGAATTTCAAAGTATTATTTGCTGATTCTAACTTGTCTCAAACTTCAGGCTTAAACAGCCAGGATCTGACAGTAAGTAATGGAGGCAGACTCTAATTGAGACCAACAGAGTGGGAGGGGTAACAGGAAAAGGATAATAAAGTTGGGAATGCCTACAGAAAGTATTTAGCAAACATGTAGCCAAGAAAGAAAGCAAAAATAACAATAACCAGATATAACCATGATAATTGAGGCTTTTGAGCCATCTGTATTTGGGTTTCTCTTTGAGAAAGATTTTGCTGTTCAGCATTTCTAGATATTCTCAACCTCAGTCCTTCTTCCTAAAGTTTGGATAATTTTATTATATAATAAATGTAATAATTTACACAAAGTTGAATTAATTATATAAAATTTTACCTTCAATTGTGAATTTTCTTGTTTTAATTGGGCAATATCTTCTTTTAGTCGTTTGTTTTCTTCAGCAGCCCTTCTTAAGTCGACTTCAAAGTTAGCAGAAGTCTTGGGTGATGATTTTGCTGGTTCATTTGCTACCTTAGCTGTGGCTGGTTTCTCTTCCCTTTGTGTTTGAGAACTATCCAGATTGTTCTCTGCTGTAGTTTCTGGAATAAATACACAGCGTAATTTTGAGTCCATTAGAGATTCGGGATTAGCATCTCGCCACAATGTTTCTTGATTAATATCACCTTCTGGAGCAAACATTGTCTGAACCATAAACTTGTGCCTATTCTTTTCATTAGGATCATACTCAAATGGTTGAAGCATTACAGCAACATTTACAGCTTGTCTCGGTTCTATTATTCCACTATTAGGACGTACGCAATAACGTTTAGGTGCTGTAGTTTTCACTTTAAAACAAACTCTGCGTTCTGTAGGATTAGTCAACTTCAAATTTGATGTAACTACATCGGTAAATGGACCTCTAAAATGAAGCTCCGTTTGAGGTTCTAGGTACAAGACCTGCTCTTGTTTAGCCATTGTTAAATTTAAGATCACAGTATATAAAAACTGTCTGTCTAATTCAGTCAATTATGATCTACAATATTCGCTCACAGAGACTATCAACCAACCCCCATTAGAAATTAATATTGCTTGTTTCAACAATACAGTACATTCAAGGTGAATTGTTTATTTCAGTAATAAACTCAAAGAAAATTGTTTATTTCAATAAAAGATTCAAAGAAAAATAATTGTTTATTTCAATAAAAAATGCAAAGGAAAATTGTTTATTTTAACAATAGATGAAAAGGAAAATTGTTTATTTCAATAAAAGATTCAAAGGAATATAATTGTTTATTTCAAACAATTTTCCTTTGCATCTATTGTTATTTCAATAAAAGATTCAAAGGAAAATAATTGTTTATTTCAACAATAGAATAAAAAAACATTGTTTATTTCACTAATAAAGTCAGTCAGTCAAATTTTATAGTGATAGGCGTTAGTCCATATACAAGATACATTATATGTTATATTTTAATACGAAACTTTTTTATTTGAGAACATTAATTATATAATTATACTCACACAATTATGATATATTATACATATAGTACTAAGGTTGAATATTTCACCATATTCTTCTCTAAATTAGGCAAATACATGTTATTTTAGCAATTATACACTGGACGCTCATAAAATACATGTCTGAAATTTTGTTAAATGATAAAACAAAGACAATCAGCAATACTCAAAATGTAATTAGCGTTATTTACATGTACGGATTTTATAGTTTAATCTTAATTTTTAATTAATGATAGATATAAAACCAGAATTCCCAAGTAGATAATACTTTAATTTATTTGTAGAATACATAAGAAAATGTTTGCCCCTACACATGCATTACATATCTTATTGTGTACCTTACTCTATATAACTTGTAATTATTTGTGGTAAGTGTACTTTAAGAGTAAACGTAGCATATATAAGGACACTTCTGTTAAGATTTAAAACAGTGTGAAAGAGTCTATTCTTTTGTGAGTTACATTGAGAATTTTCCTGGATAAATACAACGTTAGTAACATGTGTATTTCTGTATTTTCATTTAAGTTAACAGTTGAGATATCAGATTTATGTACGTCTCAATATAAAACTCCTTTTGTTACATTAAACGAGTCAGTCTGGCCATGATTGGCAATGAATTTTTGAAATGGGCTTTTACTTATGCCCATGTTACACTCGATATCCCATAGTTTGCTATGATTTACATTATCAAAAGACTGAAGAATTTATAAATATTGCATACAGTTTTGATTATTTTTTTCTGTAATTTTTAAGTAATGTTTTTGCTTGACACTCTGATATAGAATTTTTAATGGTCTAGTCTAAAATATGGATCAATATAGAGATATAAAATGTGTTGGGAAATTTGACCTATAATTCCTAGGATCCTCCGTTGAGTTAGTTTTATGTAAAGGAACTATCATAACTTATGCCATGGCTTCAAAGAAACAGTTGACTTCAGAGTTTTATAACAAATGTTAAATAAATTTTTCCAAAAATAAACTGGAGCATTTTTAATGAATTCACTGCGAATTTGATTTGCAACTGGACAGCCTCAGACCTCTGAAAACGTCTTGAAGTCCTTCAAAAGTGATGCCACAACACAATACTGGATAGCGACAACGCGAACTTCTATCCACTATAGATTCAAATGGTTATGTTATGAAATCCAGGTATCAACCATTGGTAGAAAACGGAAACGGAAAAGTTGGAAACGACTGGGAGAGGAGGAGAAGGAAGATTGAAAGATTTAAGCATTATAATTTATTTTGGTCTCTATGAGTATATATTGTTAAAATTACTATACCACATCTAATGAAAAGATATAGATTTTAATAGTAAAGTCTGGGACGAAAACACTATTAGACATGATATAGTAACTTTAACAATATATACTCATAGAAAATAGAAATAGAGTATAATACATTAAATCTTTCAATCTTCCTCCTTCCTTTCCAGTCAGTTTTAAATTTCTCCTTCCCCTCGCTAGGTTCTACCAATGGCTGATACCTAAATTTTATAATATACCCACCTGAATCTTAAATGGGTAAATAGAATTTCTTATTTCAACAATAGAAATAAACAACAATATTTGAACAATTTTCCGTTAAATAGATGCAAAGGAAAATTGTTTATTACAGTAAAAGAGTCAAAGGAAAATAATTGTTTATTTCAACAATAGATGCAAAGGAAAATTATTTATTACAGTAAAATATTTAAGGAAAAAGGTAAAAAAGTTTGTTTATTTCAAACAACAAAATAAATTTTTGAAAAGTTGTTTATTTCAATAAAACATTTCGAATTAAGATAATTTATTTCAGAATATATAAATATGTAAATGTAAAGAAAAACGCTTTTAATTTTTATGAACAATTTCGAGTTAAAATAAAATTGATAGGAAAATTTTTATTTTCGAATTTACTTAATTATATTTTTATCTCAAAATAAAAATTAAATTCATCTAAGTCACGAAAATCACTTGGCCCAGTGACAATTTAATTTTGATTTTGGTTTTTTCGCCTGAATGATCTATCCATTAAACTTACTTCTGCTTCAATTGACACGTGTTAGTTTCTAAAAAAAATATATTTATATATAAATTCTCTTCCAACAAAAATTAAAAATAATTTTAGCTCTTAAAATTCAAATAAATTAACTTAAGCACTTCTCTAAGAGAAGTTTTAAAGTATTATATAATTTCCAAAAATTTACTCCAACATTTCTTATGTAGTGATGTGTGTTGGAGATAATGAGACTGTTATAAAAACCTGTATAGAAGGAAAACCCGTCAAAATGGAATCAAATTTTAATTTTCTACGTAAAATTACTAGCAACCGTAAACCTGTTTAACGCGGAAATCAATGGGATGTCTTAGTAACTGAGTGCATAAAAAACCTGTGTATGGCGACGTAACTTTAAATTAATTGTGAATTATATCGAGTAAAAATTACTGTGAAATCGTCACAATGTCGGGCTGCAATATTTAATGATATATTTAATTTATTTAATTTTAAATATATGCTCTCGATCTCAAATTAGTAGTGCATTGCCCCTGTAAATCATACTTTTCCTGATAACAACTGAGTCATGCCGATCATCTATGTAAGTTCTTTCAGGGGAAAATTTTTTGAATTAAAATCGCGTGACTTCCAATCTAGACGGGAAGTTCGTATATAGTTAATCGAGTCATCCAGTCCATAATCTTTCCATATCTGCTCCCGAATTTCACCTATTTCACACTGTTATGGATATTAAGTAAGCGCAGACAGACAAGAAAAATCTATAAGTCTACGATTTTCCTTTCCAAATACCAGCCCAATTAATGTTGTAACTTGTGAACAGGGACGACGATCGACTTCCGGGTGACGACAGCTACAAACAATGAAAATACAATTGTTAAGACAGCGCTTTTATTGTCTGGAATGTGGCTGCGATGATACATCACCCCCGTTTCTCCCCAACCGCTTAGAAGATTTAATTGATTAAAACTTAAACCTGTATAAAAAGGAAACCTGCCAAACTGAGACATTCTCCAGTGTACTTCTAAATTCACACTGCCGTCTTTCTTTTTTAATTATGAGATAGATACAGGAAATCAGAGACCAGATACAGAAAGCTTAGGAGCAGGAGGCCCAGATTAACTATATGTTCGAATGGAAATAACGTAACTTCCGATGTAAACCGGAAATCGTGTCATTTCAATTCGAACATTCCCCCATGTAAGCAGTTAGATAAATGACGGCACGACTCTGTTGCTAACATAAAAAGTATGATATACAGGGGCAAGACACTAATAATTTGAGGTGGAGAGCATATATATTTTTTAATTAAATAAATTAAAAATTGCATCCCGGTATTGTGACGACGTCACAATAAATAATTGCTCGTTTTAACTATAATTTTAAATGTAAACAACTCAAGTTTATTTTAAGTAAGGGACGAGAATCAAGATGGCTTCTTGTATTTATCCTCACACAGCATAGACTTTCTAGTAATTAGATAGGTGGATAGCGATCGAATAAAGTCGAGGGGCTCACAAATAATTTCTTTTCGCTTTCCTCCATTTTTTTCCTATTTTTTTTTTCTTTACTTCTGGACTGTTGTTTACTTAAATCTCCCGTTAAAGTCACTTTGGCTTCTGTCCAAACTCATTAAGATTGCTGAAGATTTTGTTGAAAGTCGAGGATTGGTAGTGACTCGTTGTATACAAGGATTGGCGTTGAAATTGGAGAAGTCTTCTTGTCATTCCAGTAGAGTGCTCCCTTCTTTTTTTAAAATTCTAAAATAAGAAAGAAAAATGATTTTTATTATTATATATTTCTTTATAAAGTTATTATAATAATATGTTTAGGTATATTTGATGCTTCAACAATCGATGAATGGTGGGATTTACTTAGTCAAATCCCACTTGGATTTTGGCAATTATTTCGTTGTAAAACTAGTTTTCTTGTGTGTTTATCTGTGGTCTTTTTTATGCTGATATTTTCTTTGTTATAAATGATAAATTCTTTTCGTAATATCAAATTTAAACCCAGATTTTTCAATTTATTTATCTCACGAGGCTCGATCTTGCTCTAGAATTAACAGCCTCATAAACTCCGAAACTAATTTATGCTAGACTTTATAAATTTATTCACTCTACAGCATTATTTCTTGCATATTTTCTATTCAATTATCTTCGTTTTCTTCACTTTAAGATGCTTCAAATTACTTAGAAAGAAGCTCCTGTTCTCGAAGGGAACGCGATCTACTGGTTAGGAAATATTTAAATTAGCAGCGAGGTGTATTACGTAGCAAGAATTTCACGTTAAGTATATCGTCGGATGCTTTGATTTTTTAAAAAAAATCGAATTTAAAGCGGCCTGTTCAAGTTTAATCTTCGCATCCTCAACTTCATCCTTGCTCTAAAATTAACAGTCTCATAAGCTCCAAAACTGTTTTCTGTTGGAGTTTATTCATACTAGATAATATTTCTCAACCATATTCTAGCTGTTTATTTCTTTTATGTGTAAGAAAGTTCTAAGATTTCGTAGGAACAAGCCCTTTCATCTTCATCCCAGAGATCGCG